TCCCAAAATCCCCCAAATTGCCCCCGATCTCCTCACCCCAGGTGACTCGCAGCGGTTCCTCCAGGCTGGGGTGCAGCGCCAGGCACTCCAAGGTGTCCCCGGACGTCCCCGGTGGCACCTGGATCGTCACCTGCGCCCGGAACGTTCCGTCCCCCACCGGCAGCGCCCGCCACGGTCCCGCGGCGTCGCCCGCGGCGTCACGCGTGTTGTCGCCCGCGGCGTCACCCGCGGCGCCGTCGGGGACGACGCCGTTGCGGAGCCACCTCAGGGTGATGTCGGCCGGGGAGAAGCCCCAGGCGTGGCACGTCAGGGCCAGCGCGGCCCCCCAGCGCTCGGGGACGATGCGCAGCCGCGGCGGCGCTGGGGGGACATTTGGGGACATTTGGGGATGGTTGGGGACGTGGTGGAGGTGGCACTGTGGCACCGAACGGCCACAAAATGGTGGGAAATGGGCTCAAAATGGTGGGAAATGGGCTCAAAATGGCGGCAAGATGGCTGCCAAGGTGCCTCAAAATGGCCGCCAGTGTGCCCAAATGTGTCCCCAAAATGTCCTAAAAGTGTCCCCAAAATGTCCCCCCAAAATGGCCCCAAATGTGTCACAAAATGTGTCCCAATATGGCCCTAAAATGGCTCCCACAAAATGGCCGCCAATGTGCCCAAAACGGCAAAAAATGTTTCACAAAATGGGCCCAAAATGGCCCAAAAGTGGCCACAAATGTGACCCCAAATTGTCCTAAAAGTGTCCCCAAATGTGTCCCTAAAAGTGACCCAAAATATGTCCCCAAGTGTGTCCCAAAATGGCCCCATAATGGCTCCCACAAAATGGCCGTCAAAGTTCCCAAAATGGCAAAAAATGTTCCACAAAATGTCCTAAAAGTGGCCCCCACAAAATGGCTGCCAGTGTGCCCAAATCTGCCCCAAAATGGGCCCAAAATGTCCTAAAAGTGACCCCAAATGTGTCCCCAAAATGTCGTAAAAGTGTCCCCAAAAGTGTCACCAAGTATGTCCCACAAAATGGCCACCAATGTGCCCAAAATGGCAAAAAATGTTTCACAGAACGGGCCCAAAATGGGCCCAAATTGTGCCCGAAATGTGTCCCCAAAATATCCTAAAAGTGTCCCCAAAATGGCCCCAAATGTGACACCAAGTGTATCCCAAAATGGCACCAAAATGGCTCCCACAAAATGGCCGCCAATGTGCCCAAAATGGCAAAAAAATTTCCCCAAAATGGTTCCAAATTGTTCCCCAAAATGGCCCCAAATTGTGCCCGAAATGTGTCCCCAAAATGTCCTAAAAGTGTCCCCAAAATGGCCCCAAATGTGACACCAAGTGTTTCCCAAAATTGTCCCAAAATGGCCCCAAATGTGTCACCAAGTGTGTCCCAAAATGGCACCAAAATGGCTCCCACAAAATGGCCGCCAATATGCCCAAAATGGCAAAAAATGTTCCCATAAAATGGCCCCAAAATGGCCCCAAATTGTGTCCCAAATGTGTCCCCAAAATGTCCTAAAAGTGTCCCCAAATGTGTTCCGAAATGTGTCACCAAATGTGTCCCAAAATGGCCCCAAAGTGGCCCCAAAATGGTTCATACAAAATGGCTGCCAATGT